AAAAACCAGTAACTTTTTTCACAAGGCAAGAAGAGGAGAAATAAGAGGAGGGCGAGTCAGTCTCCACAACCAGCTACATCAAGATCATTTCAAGATCCAGGAGAGACTGAGGAACTCTCTTACACATTCCACCACTCCTCTCACCACAACTAAAGTTTTTCATTTCCTTAACCTTTGAGTCACATATATCTCATGCATTCATCTAAGGCATAGAAAAGCAAAAAAAAAAAAAAAATTCGAAAAATTTAAAAATTTGGCATGTTTTTACAAACCAAAAAGATAGCATATATTTGCATTTTTATTTTCTTAAGATTGAGTCTAGTGTTTGCATATAGGTTGCATTGCATTTGCATAGGGCATAATGATGAATTCTCTTTGTAAAATACTTAGTGTTTAGAGATGATTTCAATGTTTAAGTGGTTAGGTGTTTGATGCATCATGAGAAAGTTAGAAGTTAAGGTTGAATCATGCTTGAATTACTAGATTTGATTCTCTCATCTCATATTGAAACCATTTGTTCTTTAAAAATCAACTCTATTTACTTGAACCTTAATCTGAATTTTTAGTTATCATATTTGTGCATTGAAAAGTGATTTCATGGCTACCATATACATATTTGGATCATCTTTTTCCTTCTTAAAACCCTTGTTGAACCAAGTAGCTGATCCTCATACTTATGGGACAGTTAATCCACACCCTTAACCAAACCTCCTTTTGAGCTTAAACACTATCTTGAGAGTTGTGAGGCCTTGCATGCATCAGTTTCGAATCTTATCTTGGCAAAAAGTGTTAGGATTAATGCTGGCAAGGAAAAGCTCTCTTGTAGATATTAGCTTGCATTTTGAGCTTGATTTTAGGTTAGGAGCTTGGGATAAAAGGGTAGAGTTAAGTGGTTTGTGTTTCATGTCTATATGCTTTAAAAGAAGAAGGAAAAGTATGGAATGGTAGTATGGGGAAATAAGTTTATATTGTGGTTAAGTAAAGGGAAGAAAAAGCTCTAAGAGTAGCAAAACTTTGAAAGGTCAATCAAAAGAAGAAATCTGACCCAATGCAATTCACCAAAGGTGAAAAATGACGCATATTCAATAAGAAAGGAGCAAGTCCCAACAAAAAGAAGCAACCACACAAGCAAAAAGAAGAAGTTTTTCCAACCATGAAGAAGGAGAAGGGTTAAAGTTTAGGAAAAGGGTAAATTTAGGGGTTCACTGTGGGGTTTGTAAGTTCTTAGGATTCATGTTTGGGTAAAAGGGTAGAAGAGAGCTTTGATTTGCATGCATAAGTGTGCTTTTACCTTTAGCATTTTGCCTAAGATAGAATCATTTTCATTGAGTGATCCCTTATGTTTATGAACCCTTTGCTTGAATGAGACCATTTTTATCTCATGACCTTACCCTTGAAACCAAATTTCTTCACTTAATACGCACAAACTTGATTCATGGTTATGAGCTTAATGAAAGTTAAAGAGCTGATTGATTAGAGTTTTTTTCTAGGTTGAGATTTGAGATTATTTTGAAACATGATGAGCATGGCTAGGTTTTTTAAAGTATAGATGATTGTGTTTGCATCCTACAACTAGGCACTTGAATGTTGACTTGATCTCTTTACCTTTGCATTTTTGGATTTGAATGCCCACTTTCAAACCTCATCCCCCATTTTTGTTAGTTTGTTTGCTTGAGGACAAGCAAAAGGCAAGTGTGGGGGTGTTGATATCTCATACATTTACATCATATAAGCTTGCATTTAGTGCATGTTTTGGTTTCCTTTATGTATGTTTTCCTTCTCTTTAGTCCCATTTTCCTTTCCTTTTATACTTAGGTTGCATTTAGATTGTAGTTTGTATTCTCTATGCATTAAGGATGTTTTTAGGTACTTAACAAGCTATTAGGAGCAAGGAGGGAGTGTGGGAATGGTACAAGGAGTTAGCCAAGCTGAGAAAGAGCAAAAAGAGCTAAGGAAAGCGATTTCTGGTGTTCCATCGGTCATCCACATCGGTCATTTATGACTGATGTGAAGAGACAGGACATCTGTATCGGTCATCTACATCGGTCATGCCAGACCGATGTAAAGCAAACGAGTGTTGTATCGGTCAAGGAGTGGCGGATATGAAACAAGACATGTTCATCGGTCAAGAGCATCGGCCACCCGAGACCGATATGAATCAAACGAGTGGAGCATCGGTCACATGTGACCAATATGAATCAAACGAGTGCAGCAGCGGTCATCCACATCGGTCACTTGTGATCGATGTGAGCCAGCCTAAACTTCCTTTTATTTACAACTTGGCCACTATTTTAGGGCTTTTGTCATTTAGTGTAAATAGGTTTGATCTAATGTTTTTAGCAACAAGTCTTGTTCTTGCTAAATTTTCTAAAGTTCTTTCATCTTTGTAAAACAGGATTCTATTTTTAATATTAAGTTTTGTATTTACATCATTAATCTTTCTCTAATCTCCCTCTTGATCATGTTTATCATCATTTCTTTTTGTGATTTGATGATTTCCGTGATGATTAGTGAGTAGATTTTTAGGGTTCTTAGATGTGGTAGATTCGGTGAATTTAGAGGTTTGATTAGGGTTTTTTAGTGCTTAATTAGGGTTATTTCTCTTTATTAATCTGTTCTTAAGCTAGATTTGTCTTGATCACATGGATCAAGATTTATTTAATAGAGGATTTACTGGCCTTAGCTCAAGAGATTGACTATTTGAGGAGTATCTTGACTTGAATAGAGTTGGTTTTTCATGCTTGTTAAATGTTCTAGCACTAATGAGAGTTAGTTCTTGTTAGGATGATTAGCAAATGGTTATTTGTCAAGAGATTGGATTTAACTTGTTTGATTGTGAACTCTACGTCTAGGAATTAGCATTGATTGCTTGTTTGCATTGTCAATAATGTTTGAAACAGCCTAAGTCTTGCCTTTAAATTTCCCAAAGTCAATAACCACATCTAGGAACTTGTTTTTTCTTATTGAATTTCGAATTTTGCTTTAAACGCTCTGTTTTGCTTCTGATCATTGCTAAGTTGTTCTCTTTTGAGTTCTGTTTGGTGTTTGATCACTTAGGTTGATAGTCTAGTTGTGTTAAATAACAAATCTTCTTTGATTCACTTGACTTAAAGATTTCTTCTCATAGTTCTATTGGCATCTATACTTAACTCATTTGGATTGATAAAAACCATATGCTATACTACAACTGATTAATAAAAGCAGGGTGATTGGCCAAGAGTCAAAACTCTTGTATCATAAAGCATCAATGACTTCACCTTTGTCACAATTGTATCACCCATATGCAGAATCATCAGAGCTTCTTACCAATATTTCATCTTTATCAACATTATAAATTGATTCTTCATCATAAACATAGACCTTCTCAAATGAATTCACCACACACGTTGAGAAGAACTGATGATTCCAACAAACTATAGTCTCGATGTTACGATGAGATGCACTCATTAATGGGCCTTGACTCTTAGAATTCCAAATCAAAGCATGACTCTTCTCGTGTCTACCTTCCACGTTCTTTAACTCATAGAATTGTGGAAAAATTTCAACTCTCATATCTTTCTCCTCAAATGTGTCTTTTGCATCTTGAAATTGATATTCATCATCGTAGTTATCCCACCTTGCGCCTCTAGAGTAATCGAGATCTTTAGTCGAAAAATCATCATCATAAACATTATAGATAGGCTCGCCGACAAAGTCATTGGCCCCATCGTAACACTCCTCTGAATCATTGGCAAACACAAGACCATCAATAATATTTTTTCCTTTCATATCTTTGTTGAACTTATCAATATCCATATGGAAAATAGACTTTTTTGCTGAGATTTTACTCCCGCTGGTGTAGCTTCTACCGATCTGCGATGCTGTTCTTGACGTGGCAAAGCAACCCCCAAAAAATTATGAATCTATTTACTAATAGCCACCCGCATATTTTTCCGCATCACCATGAGTGTGTGATGCAATGCTGACCAATCGTTCATTGCTTTAGAACTGGTTTGATCTGTTGTTACCGGAAAGATAAAACTGCTCGCTGCCATGGAAAAATTTGTGTGTCAAAAAAATTTCAGAATAGGAACATGCTTGCTCTGATACCAAACTGATGGAGCAAAACCTATTATGGATAGAACTAGATCAGTTGATTCTGAAAATACTCAGAAATTAGGGTTTGTGATAATCGATAAGAATACGATAACAGGAAATGAATTGAAAAGTTCTATGTTTATTCAATAATCAGTTAAAAGCCCAATATACATAAAGCCCAACAACATAACTTAATTGAAAAATAAAGTTGTAAATCTAACACGATAAAAGCCTTTTGAGGTTGTGATTGTGTGAAGATGAGCTGCATCAATGTCTTTCCTTTGCATCAGCCTGAAAAGATGAATTGCTTTGCTAATGAGCTCAGCTTCTCCGTAAACACGGAGGATAGTGTTGCAGCTAACAACATTAGGCTCGATGTCCATCTTCCTCATGCTCTAAAACAACCTATCAGCTTCTTTCACCATGTCAAGCTGACCATAAACACCGATCATTATATTGCCAGTCGTGAGATCCAACGGGCAATTCACCTCTTTCATCTCCGCGAAAACCGACAACGCTTCAAGAAACTTCTGGTTCTCAACATAAATACTCAAGAGAGTGGAGTAACTAACTGTGTTTGGTGTGACACCAGCTTCTTTCATCTCCTTTATAAGCAATCTCGCCTCTTTAAACAACTTAGCATTTCCATAAAAATTGATCATCGAGTTATACGCGACAAGATCAGGCGTAATACTGGATTTTTTTGAGTAATCACACAACCTCCTACAAAGCTCGATGAGGTTACTGTACAAGATAATATCACCTGAAACACGGTCTTGCTCCATCTTCTGAAGCCAAGAAAGATCCGAATCGAACATACCTTCTTTGCCAAGCGAAGTAATTAGAGTCAAATAAGTAAAATATCAAGAGCAAGAGCTCTCTGACGCATTTCGTCGAACATGTCGTGTGCAATGTCGAATTGCTTAGCTCTTAACACGTTTCGAAGAAACCATGTTGAAGGCGAAAACTGAGGGTGTGTATTTAGCTTCCTCATGAACCCAGTCGAGCAATGCGAGTGATTTGTGCCAGTTATTTTCGCGGGAAAGAAGTGAAACCATAAACCGTATAGACAATCGTCTATCTTTATAAGAAGAAAGCTGAGCAAAAAGCTCTTCCTCGTTCTGGGTCTGGTGAATTGAATCTAGAAGCTCGTCCATGTCGACTTTGTGATCGAGATGAGCAGATCTTTCGTACCTCCGATGTTTCCTCAAGGACATTGAGTTCTCCGGTTATTTTCACCTTACGTTTTTGGTTTTTTTTTTCTTGTTATGAATGTTAAGATTTATACCTTTTTCGAGAGAACAATGTTGTTGTTGAACAACTTATTACAAACAACGAAAGAAAGACTAGAGGCAGGGACTAAGATTTTACATAGCAGGGGAGAGAAGCAGAAAATACAACTCGAGAAGCGAAGGAGAGCTTACATTTGCCGCCGGGAAGGAGAGAAGGCGATCTCTGATAGTCCTATCAATCACCGATCTGGTGGATGCCATTGAAGCGAAGGTGGAGGTGAAGATTCGACTATTGCGTTCTTTCCATAACTGGTAGATGCTAACCTGAAAGTGCAGCCTTGCAAGGACCCCTTTTGCCGAGCCACAGAGAGCCGAGTTCCCTGAGATTGATCCAGCCACCGAGAGGAGAGAATGGGAAGGCTGTAGGCCTAGACCCACAGAGAAAGCACCCCAGATTCCAGAGGAGAACGAGCAACCAAAGAACAGATGATCAAGGGTTTCCGGCTCTTGCGAGCACATGACGCGTTTTTGGTTTTTGTCGATTGTGAAGATGAAGATGATGAAGAAGCAAAGACTGTGAAGATGAGATTGCGTTGTGTTGATTCAGGAATGGTGAAGAAGGGTATTGAAGTGTAAATATGAGGTCTGGTTATGGGTAATGATGGAAGAGAAGGAGAAGACGATGAAGTAATGTCTATATACATCTTCCGAGAATAACATTTTTGAAAAATGAAACGTTTTTGTTGTAAACTAATGCTTTATATGAAAAGCAAAGAAGAGTTTAAGAAGTATGAAATTCAGAGAGAATGAGAGAAATATGAACATAAGAACTTTATTTCTTTCTTCTTCTGAACTTATGATTTTACAAAAAAAAAATGAAGTCACATATTTGTAGGAAAATATTACTTCATAGTGAAGTAAGCTAATCTATAAAGACAAAGTAAATGGATAAACACTATCTATTTAATATGTTGATATATAAAGACAAAATATATTGATAAGCGTTATTCTTTAATATGCTAATGTATAAAGACAAAAACAAATGGATAATCATTATCCATTTAACACTCCCCCTTAATTATCCATCACTAATGATATATTATGTACGGCCTCGTTAAAAACCTTATCATAGAAAAACCCATTTGTGATTAAAAAAAACCATGATAGGAAAAAGAGTGTAGTAACGGTCCCCTTCGAAATGACGCTTGAGTATCCATCACTGTGAAGTTGCGTGCTGCCTTGTTAAAAACTTTTTCGTAGAAAAACCCAATGGGATATAACCATGACAAAGGGAAAAAAGAGTACAGCAATAGCAAACTCCCCCTAGAGAAGATGGATCTCATCCTCTCTTCACAAATCTCGTAGATGCCGCATTCCAATACTATGAACATGTTTCTTGAATGTTGTAGTAGGAAGCGCTTTTTTGAAGAAATCAGTTGCGCTGTCACTAGAACGAATATACTGAATATCCACTACATTATTCTTCTCGAGCTCTTAAGTATAGGAGAAGAATCTTGGAGGGATATGTTTCGTTCTATGGCTCTTGATATAACCTTCTTTAATTTGAGCAACACAAGCATCATTATCTTCAAACACCTTTGTTGGTTCTTTGTCCGTGATTATTCTGCTTGCTTCTTGTATGTGATGAGCTATCGATCTAAGCTATACACATTCTCTACATGCTTCATAAAGCACAATAATCACCGCATAGTTTAAAGAAGTTGCGACCAAAGTTTGCTTTTGTGATCGCCAAGAGGTCGCAGTTCCACCAAATATGAAAACATATCCAGTTTGCGATCGAGCTTTATGCGGATCAGACAGATATCCTGCATCTGCAAAACCAACTAGACCATCCTTGGGGTTTCTAGAATAATTTAATCCAAAATCAATCGAACCTTGAAGATAACGGAATATATGATTTATTCCATTCGGCGCATCGGTGATGAATTATACCTTGCAAGTAAGTTAGTAGCAAAAGTTATATTTAGTCTAGTAAAAATTATAAGATACGTAAGGACACCGATAGTGCTCATATAAAGCACATCAGGACCTAATATTTCTTTGTTACCTTTACAAGATCGAAATGGATCCTTGTCCACGTCAAGTGGTCTATTGACCATTGCAGTACTCAAAGGAGTCGCTTTATCCATACTAAAGCGTTTCAACACCCTTCTGGAGTAATTTGATTGATCCACAAATATTCCATCTTGGAAATGCTCTATCTGGAGCCCTAGACAAAATTTTGTCTTTCTAATATCTTTCATTTTGAACTCATCTTTCATATGAGCTCTTGCATCATCAATCTCTTTTCGAGTTCCAATCATGTTCGATTCATCAATATATACAACAATGATCACAAATCCTGATGCGGATTTCTCAATAAACATACAATGGTATATCGCATTGTTGACGTAATCTTTACTCAATAAATACTCACTTAAGCGATTATACCACATGCGTATCGACAAAGTGGCAATCGGCAAGTGGCAATCGGTAAACCGTGCTGTGAACATATCACCAGTTACCGGCTCAAGATACCTAATTGTACTTGGTGACAAATACCCGATATATATTCTCAATCTTCTTTGTGGTCCCATTTTTGTTCTTTGAGGTGGCGCTATAGGGACATAGACCGCACACCTAAACACACGAAGATGGAACATATCTGGCTTCTGGCCAAATGCTAAATGTGTGGGGGAATATTCATTATATACACTTGGTCTTACCTAGACCAATGCCCCAACATGCAGTATAGCATGTCCCCACATAGTGATTGGAAGCTTTGTTCTCAATATTAACGGTCTTGCAATCAATTGCAACCGCTTAATCAATGACTCAGCCATGCCATTTTGTGTATAACATGCGGAACCGGACACTCAACATCAATTCCCAAGGACATATAATAGTCATTAAAGGCCGCTGAAGTGAATTCATCAGCGTTATCAAGCCTGACTTTCTTTATGGAATAATTAGGGAAATGCACTCTCAACCTGATTATTTGGGCAATGAATCTTGCGAAAGTCATATTCATTGTGGTCAAAAGACACACATGTGTCCATCTACTAGATGCATCAATTAATACCACGAAATATCTAAATGGCCTGCACTGTGGGTTAATCGGCCCACATATATCACCATGTATTCTCTCTAGGATTACAGAGGATTCATTCCCAACTTTGGCTGGCGAGGGCCTATTTATGAGCCTTCCTTGAGAACGTGTCTTACATGAAAACTCTCCTGATTGAAAAAATCTTATGGTTTTTCAATGGGTGGCCACTCGAATTTTGCACAATCCTTCTCATCATGACTGAACCAGGATGGTCTAACCTTTCATGATATACTCTAAAAATGCTGGTAAACTTTTGGTTTACCGCAACATGTGATTCAGTCATAGTTATCTTTGAGCAATATAATCTGGAGGACATCATTGTTAACTCTTCCAACTGATGTTTACTCTCTGTTGTAGATATTCATAGCCACTAATAGTCTCCATATGATATCCATTTCTACAGATATCTCGAAAACTTAATAAGTTCCGTTGAGACTCGAGGGAGTATAATGCATCTTGCATTACAAACTCTGTACCCCTTGGTAATGAAAAACTTGATTTTCCGGAGCATAGTATAATCTTTGCTATACCAGTTATAATACACATGCTTCCAGCGGAGACTTTCATTTCGAGACAGGAGAAATACTTTTTATCTTTAAGTATTGTAGGTGTCGTAGCACTGTCTGCTAGACATATTTCTCCATTCATAGTCTCAAATTCTGAAATTTTTGAATTTAAAATATTTATAAAAGATGTATTAATAAATATTAAACACAAACCTGGCAATACAGCTTATGGTACAATAGAACCTACAGCAAAAACATTCAAAGCAAAAGCATATGATACATCAAAACCATTAAGTTTTTTGTCTTTCAACGTCCCAACCATCATCATTTTTTTTCATTAAGTTTATCCATCACACTTACTGTTAGTGGATTACTCAACATTCTTCCCTAGGAATAAAGTTAATTTAATTAGTTGGACAAAACTGATGACTTCTTATCACGAGTTTATTATATTATTAAGCTACTAGGAGGATTTACATCAACTCCGAGATTTGGATAAAATCTCTCGCCTGGAGATTCAACCAGTTATTTTCTAAAATCTTCAGTCTCTTTACTCGTGATGGATTTATCATTTAAACCATCATGGATGTGGTGGCGTAAAAAGATCATGGTTTTCACCTTATCTCATCGAATGTCGTTTCCGACTTATCAATAATGCTCGAGAGATCATTTCTCTTTAGATGCAACTTTGTACCTACCGCCCAAGACATATAATTAATTCCACACAAGTCAATGGCGGAGGTCTCGAGCTTTGAAAAATTATTACTGAATAGCAGAAACTTAACCCATTTATTTTGAATAAATTTTACTTATAAAAATTTGGGCATCGTAACGGTATAATAAAAGACAATAATTAAAAGCAATATGAGGAGGCAAAGCCTACCAGACAATTGCTGTTGATTGTATAAATAAATGAACAAAGATGGAGATTTTAATCTCCCACACAATAAATAAATAGATAAATAAATATGATTTGAGGCGATATAGTTTGCCATGTGATCATTTTTTATTGTGGAGGCAGAGCCTGCCATAACAAGGAGACAGAACCTATCATCCCGGTATAATAAATAAACAATATAATTATTTGATCGTGGAGGCAGCGCCTACTATAACGATCAGCACGGAGGAGGCATAGCCTACGTACCAGCCCGGCATAACATATAAACAGAGAAGGCAAAGCTTATCTTTCCGTAAATCATAATATTCAAAATAAATTGAACATAAATGAATCTTACCTCACTGATATAGATTTATCTTTTAGATATAAATCAAGAGACGTTTGTGCTGATAACATGTTATAAATTAATGCTTTATATGAAAAGCAAAGAAGAGTTTAAGAAGTATAAACTTCAGAGAGAAAGAAAAAAAAATAAACATAAAAACTTTATTTATTTCTTCTTCTGAACTTATGATTTTACAAAGAATAAAGTCACATATTTATAGAAAAATATTACTTTATAATAAAGTAAGCTAATCTATAAAAATAAAATAAATGGATAAAACATTCGTTTAACATGCTGATGTATAAATACAAAACATATTGATAAGCATTATCTTTTAATATGTTAATATATAAAGACAAAAGTAAATGAATAATTTCTATCTATTTAACAACGTTATCTTTATACGTACTTCATCTTAACCAGAAGACTCACAATATTCAAACGACGCCGTCTTTATACTTACCGTGGATAGTCCAGTAAAACACCAACGGGTAAGTCGTATTCTACCAAGTAGTGAGAGTAACTAGTGAGACCAATGCAGCAACTTCGTGACTTAATCCATATCAGTCCTCGACATCTCAGATGATTCTGTCTCTGTTTCACTTCCCACTCTTCGGTAGAAGAAAAGACATGCCGCTGAGTTTTTGATTTCGGATTCATTTACAGATAAGTTATGCCGTCGAAATGATACCATTTGTTTTCATCAATCAACTGGAGGAACAGTGACACATATGATTAGATAAAGGACTCACCAGAAGCACGCATAGCACAGTATAAAGTCTAGTCTGATATATATATGATAATAACGAGTAGATCAGCTTATGCGATCACAAGCTCAAGGTACGATCGAGTGCTCGCATGTCATCCACAAGAGGCTCTTCCGCTACACACGAAAACAGAGATATCGCTTCTTGCCTTGTATTCTTTGCAGAGAAACTCGTTTTATGAACCTCAGGAAGGTCACTCAAGTAGCTGGAATCATACTTTTCATGCACAGTCTCATTCCACTCGACGAAAACTCTTGTAACGGTACCAAGGTTCACTGAAGACTAAGACTTAAAGTGGTTCGAAGTTCAAACCACGCCCACCTGACAAGAAGATCCTGAAGCATAACTCTCTATCAGATGCATCATCGTAAGAATGATCTCTTCGAAAGGAGAGCAATGGCGGAGAGAGTGACTGCCATGGAAAATAAACGGAGCGTTTTAGTCTTTGGTAACGTGCGTGCAAAGAAACGGCGTCGTTTTTGTTGTTTTAATATTGACCGCTGAAAATTCACCTGATCATATCTTAACCGTCAATTGCTTTATAAGAAGAAAAGGAAATCCCAAAAAAAAAAAAAAAAAAGGAAAAAGAGAGAAAAACTAAAAGTTAATCTTGACCGTTGATACTTAATCGTATCTTTACCGTCAGTTACTTTTTTCTAGCGCATCTATAAATAACCCCCTCTTGCCGAGCTATTGAATCAGAAAGCTCATCCAAAAAAGTTGTCCTGTGTCTTCCCAATTACAACAACAGTTGAGGATCTTTTAATCTTTTTTTGATTCGAAAGTACTCGTTAGGGTTTAAGAATGACTCACAGTTTTTCAAAGAGATTGCCTTTGTTCTACATCAAAGTGTATAAGATTGTGGATGATCCTTCTCTCGATCCAATCATCTCTTGGGGCAAAAGCAACAAGACCTTCATCGTTTGGGATCTCAAAGGGCTTTGCAGAGAAATTCTCCCGAAATACCCTGGACTGGGCAGGAACCACACACAATTTGTCTCACAACTTGAGTATTACGGGTTTGAAAGAGTCATTGGGGCAGGAAAATTGGAATTTGGACATGATTATTTCGTGAGAGGGAAGCCTCATCTTCTGAAAAAGATGTGGATACAAGCTTTGTCAATTGAGAAAATTGAAGCTATTTTTGAAGCAAATATTGCTCGATTTAGAGCAAAGACTGAGAAAACTAATCTTGAAACAAAGATTGCTCGAATCAGAACAATGATTGCTCGATTCAAAGCAAGCCAAGATAGAGTCAAAGTAGATAGAGTCAAAGTAGAGGATCTCTTGCAAAACTTACGAATCTGATCCAACATCGTCATCCCTTCTTGTAATGAAAATTAGGGATTCTTTTTGCATAAACCATATATATTTATCAAATTCGGTTTGTTTGAAAGATAATCCATTGTCTATGTTGCAACTTTTATTTTTTTGCCTATAATAATCTTGGCTCGTACTTGTATAATATAGCTTCATGAACGAACCTAAAATATAAAATTCTGAAAAATTATTTAACCTAACCCACTTGTTAATCAACCTCTACATAGTTTTTTGGTCAATTTAATGTCAATGGGTCCTTAGAATTAATCCCGTTCATGGATCATATTCATAGAATCGGAAATGATTACCAATTAGCTTATGTTTATGCATATCTTCGTAGTGGTAGTTTGTTGTTAAAAGAAAGTGGTATAATGTTGTAAGTCATTATCAAAGTCCCAGTCCCCCTTCAATTTAGGTTTGCACACATCCGTCCAGGCTAGTTTAGCTTTTTTGTGTTTAAATCTAGTCCAGACCAAAGAAAAGCTGAGCAGAGCTTGTCTATTTCCCTTGTGCAATCTCTAGGAAGTCGAAAAGCTGACATCCAGAAGGTCGATATACTCCATAATACCGACCTGATTACCAAAGAGACCTCGAGGTCCATGATCCAATTCGAGTACGAACTTGTTCTATTAACGGCAAATAATCCCCGGCAGCCAAACACTTTGTAACCAGAGGTAGTCCTAAATATCTCACTGGAAGAGTCCCCACTTCAAAAGGAAGCCGAGAGATCATGGCTTGACGAGTCCCATCTGTAACTCCTGCAAGGTACATCGTCGTCTTCTCCATACTAATTTTCAGACTAGATATCTTTGCAAACTCATCAAAAACTTTGACAATCCCCTCCACTGATCGTACTTTGCCGTCTGTTACTACCATGATGTCATCTGCAAAGCTTAGATGGGTTGCTTTCCAGTCGCGGCCCTATCTAGTAATTTTGATAACACATCCATGCATATAACAAACAGATAGGGTGACAAGGAACAACCCTGACTTAATCCTCCTGCGCTTTGAAAATAACCAGTTAGTTCCCCATTTACTTGCACTGAGAAAGAGGCCATTGATATTCACAGTTTGATCCAATGGATGTGTAAAGTCTTGATGACTTGAAGAACAAGCAAGTTCAAATTATGGAATGCTTAGTTGGGACCACATTATAACCTGACTCTATGGTCATCATTGAACCATGATTAAGTTAGATGAGGGACCACTTACAGCTGGCAAAATGGCTACTGCAATGTCAAGACAAAGCAGAGGTCTTTGCATTCACGCTCAAATGACATTCTGTCCGTTTGTGGTCAAAAGAAGAAAGCATATTTGGAGGTTTCACAATTGCTAGATCAATCCAGCTCTTTGGCGTTTCTAGGTGTTTGGACATGCATTTGTGACTAATGGGAAGCCCTAAAGCGGTATCACTATAAGAAGGCTCCGGGGTGCTTTGTGAGGGAGTTAGAGAAACTTAAGAGTTGTTAGAGAGTGATAGAAATACTTGTTTGCTTAAGCTTATTGTATTGTCTCGGTTATAAAAAGATAGAACAGAGTGAGCTCTATTGACGCTAGTGAAGGGCAGTAGAGTGTGTCACTTGTTCTTCTCTTGGATTGTAAACTCTCTGTATTTTCTTTAGTGGATTCTCAGCTAGGCTCGGCGAGACGTAGCCCACCGGTTAGGGCATGAACTCGTAAAAGTTTCTGTGTGCTCCCCTCTCTGCTTTCTCTTATCTCCTCTCCTTCTTCCTCAACTCCTCTGTTTTCTCCCCTGTTTTGGAAACCGCTTCTGCGTCAGATGTTTTCACGTTGAGGATGTGAATGTCCCATAAAGGCTTTGTTTTATTAAGAGGAAGCATTGTGAGACGTGAAACGTAGTCCTCAAGGAAGCTTTCTCCATCGTCGCCAATCTTGTTCTGGTCTATATCTACTAATCAAGAAACAAACATTAAACGTACCATATTGATAGCTTCCTTTATAAATTTTATGTCGTCCAATGAAACAATTCGGTGACAAAATTTCTTCGGATTACTCTTCACATCCATATCAGCTTTTAGAGGTCTCTTTGTATCCTTCAAGAACAAAGCAATCACCAAGACAAGCAAGAAATCCACGAAAGTGTTCCAAATCAATCTCACTTATGAGAACCATGGGGCTTTGTCTTTATGGACCGTTTTACTACGCCGTTTCATAACAGAAGTAGTAGAAATTGCACTAAGGTGTGATGTTTTCTGAGTACATGCGACTAGGAGAGACATTAGGGATGTTCCATCTCCTAACGAATGGTGAGATCTTACCACACAAACCGCTTCTGCGTCAGATGTTTTCACGTTGAGGATGTGAATGTCCCATAAAGGCTTTGCTTTATTAAGAGGAAGCATTGTGAGACGTGAAACATAGTCCTCAAGGAAGCTTTCCCCATCGTCGCCAATCTTGTTCTGGTCTATATCTACTACATATACATGGTCTTCCACGTTGACTTGAGTATTGATCCAACTTGAACCATCATGTGACTGAAAATAGAGATTAAAAACCCATAAAAATAATCGATGTGCGTATAATATACAATATATGTTACTATTATTTTTGTACCAATTTGCTTGAGAAACGAGGATGCCTGGAAACATTCTTCTTCAAGCCATTTTTGATGGCATCAGCATGAATCTTGGTTTTGCAACCGATCATGGTGATGATGCAGCAGTCGCTGCCTGGAGATTGGAACACACGCGCCAGCGGACTGAGCGGTTCTCCGTCTTCGTCCCCCACCGACATCGTTCATTTTCCTCTTCTTATCCTTACGCTATTAATGAGTAGTTTAATTGTTTTTTTATATACGTACATGAGGGTGTCCATAGACACTTGGAGCGATGTAAGCAATGCGATGGCCATGCAAACTGATTTCATCGACCGATCATGTTTGAAATGAGCGGTTCTCCGTTTTCGTCCCCCACCGACATCGTTTTTTTCCTCTTACGCCATTAATGCTGTCTATGTAATTCATCTCCCACGGCCCAATTTGATTTATATATATTAAGATAATGTCAGAAACCTGCCTCACGAGATAACTATTTATAGATTATAACGTCACTTTTACATCTGCAACGTAAAAGCAATATATTAAGAAATTAATATAAAATTTTGTGTTTGTTAAAATATATGATTTTTTTAATGTCGAATTCATTTCATTTATATAGAGTTGATATAATCAGTGTATAATACAGTTTAGAAGATAAACAGATCCCGAAAAGAAAGAGATTGTTTGGTGGACTTTGTTGGGCTAATGTGTGAGCTACCTTATTACATTCTCGGTTGATAGGCTTAATTTTGACATACCGAAATTTTAGTAACCATATTTGGATATTTTAAATAAGATTAGAAATACTTATATCACGGTCGATGTTGTGAAGAATGTTAACCAAATGTTTGCAATCTCTCTCGAAACATATTAAATCATAGTCTATACTCCAGGTATTTTGTAGAGCTCCAAGCAGTGCTTTACCCTCGGCCTCAAGACTTGAAGTAGGCGTTCCCAAGGTCATCGCACCCCAGTATTTGCCACTGCCGTATGACTCTCGAATTATCCAGCCACTATTGGCATGATGAGTAGATGGATTGAACGTAGCATCATAATTCCATTTTAATAAGCCAAAAGGTGGACGTTCCCATACTCGTAGTGTAGGGGTAAGGCTTGTAGAGATGGGAGTCGTATTATATCTATTGTATCTGCAAGTGCTTTATTAACATCTTTCCCAACTTTGACGTTCTGTTTCTGAAATATAAAATTGTTACAAGATTTCCATATACGCCATAATATCCAGAAAGGAAGCAATGTATCCACTTCAGATATAGTACTGCTTGTTTGTGCGTCAAGCAGTAATTGTAATGTCGTTTCAGTATCCCCTGAGGGTATACGTAGGAAGTTGAAAGGAGTTTGTGATTGGCACCAAGTTGAGATGGATACTGGGCAATCAAAACAAAGATGGTGGATTGTTTCTGGTTGTAATCCACAGTGGACGCATGTGTTAGGTATGGTGATGCCGCGGCTCTGCAAACGGGTAGTGGTACCAATAGCTTTAGACATAATCCTCCATAAGAAATGTTTGAGTTTGAGCATAATATTTAATCCAAATTTTCTTTTTCAGGGTTGGGTCACCGTAAGGGGGAATATTAGTTTGGTTTATAGGGAGAGTACGAAGGAAATGGTATCATGTTTTAACCGAATATTCCCCATTCTTGGTGTAATTCCAGCAGATACGATCCTTCCGACCACGTTGGCCTAAATAAAGTGTTTTTGCTAGTGCCATATCGGAAGCAGATATGTTTGTAGTTAATGCCGCATCATTCCATTGTTTGTACGGGCCGTTACTTATAACCGGGTCTTTTACCAATAGGTCGGTGTTTCCATTGACTCCATCTGCCGGTTTAGAAGGATGGGTAGGTAACCAGTTATCTATGAAAACTTTTAATTGTTGACCATCACCGAGGATGGTGCGTGAGCCCTTTTTAATAAGTTGAATACCACAGAGAATAGATTTCCAACCAAAAGATTGATGTTTTTTGTTTGTTGCATCAAATAAGTGAGTATCTTTGAAATATCGAGCTTTATATAGGCGCGAGAATAAGGAGTCTGGATGTTGTAATAATCTCCAAGCTTGTTTGGCAAGTAAGGCATCATTGAATTTTTCCAGATCCTTAAATCCCAATCCCCCTTCTTGTTTAGTATACTGCAATCTCTTCCAAGCCACCCAAGGAATCCCTTTGGTGTCCTGTGTAGTTCTCCACCAAAATTGGGTGAGAATGCTAGTCAGTTCAGAGATTACTTGGTTTGGCAATTTAAAACAGGCCATTGAGTAGACAGGCATTGACATTGCCACTGATTTGAGTAGGATCTCCTTTCCAGCTGGTGAAAGTAGTTTAGAACCCCACGAAGATGTTCGTGTTTTGACCCGACTGATAATAGTATTTAACATCTCTTTTTTCTTACTATCAAATTGTTCAGGCAAGCCAAGATATTTACCACCACCACTATGATTCGAAATCCCTAGTATATGTTTCAGACGTATTTGTCGTGCTCCTGGAATGCGTGAACCGAATGTAATCATAGACTTATTCTGATTTATTTGCTGCCCGGAACATTGTTCATAGATCTTGAAAATATTCTTAATTGTTGAGCAATTTTTTTTCATTTGCTTGGTAGAAGAACAAGGAATCATCCGCAAAAAGGAGATGAGTGATTCTAGGTACACCAACACCGACTTTGATTCCACTTATTGTTCCTTTTCTAGCAGCTTTGTCAAGTAGGTGGCTCATAATGTCGGAGCATAGGATAAACAAATAAGGTGACAAAGGGTCTCCTTGTCGTAAACAACGCTCCGGTATAATATGTACTTGTGGACGACCATTGATTAGTATAGAATAAGTGACAGAACAGACAGTTGTCATTATCCATTTAATCCATTTGTCATGGAAACCAAAAACATGCATTGTGCTTTCAAGAAACTTCCATTCTACTTTATCATATGCTTTGGTCATATCGGTTTTAATAGCCATGTAGGTCTGAGAGACACGTTTATGGCTTTTAAGAGAGTGCATTAACTCATGGGAGACCATAATATTATATGATATCAAACGTCCCGGGACAAATGCAGCTTGGGCTTCAGAGACGATCAAATTTAAGAATTGTTTTAATCTGGTAACCAAGATCTTCGATATGATCTTATAAGATACATTACAAAGAGATATTGGCCTATAGTCCGAAAGTGCTATTGGGACTTTTATTTTTGGAATCAAACAAATGTTGGTATGATTAATATTTTCTGGCATTTCTATGGATTCAAAGAATCGTAGTACCTCCCTAGTGATATCACTACCAACTATATCCCAGCACTCCTGATAGAATCTTCCCGTTAAACCATCCGGGGCAGGAGCCTTATCAGCTTCAGTTGCACATACAGCATCAAATATCTCTGAGGTAGTGATTGCTCGTGTGAGCATCTGATTGATATCTGGAGTCACCGTTGGTTGGAAATCATCGTATATGTTGTGTGTGAATTGGTTATTCTCACTAGTGTACATTTGATTAGAGTAGTCTTCTGCGTATTGGCCAATATCATAATCACCAAAGAGAGTAATACCATTGCTATCTTTAATGGTTAATATTCGATTATTCATCTCTTGTGACATGTGTCATTAACACTTAATCATCACATTATGTAATTATTCATCACTTAGGTGTCATGTTTAGAATGCTATATATTTCTTATAAATAGTATGTAACATACTGTACAAATCATAAGTGAATAACAAAAAACTCCTTTAGTAAAAGTTATTGTCTACTTCTACATGCTTTTCCCTATCTAAGTTCATCTTACTAATTTCTACATTAATATATTTTTTATTATATAGAATATTATTTTACAATACGTTATCAGCAGCGATTTTCTTTCAATTCGTTTATATTCTTAAAAGTAAGATTTATATATCTTTCTATTATTAAATAACCATGTCAAGTTTGGAAAAGCTCGAAATTGCCGCCATTACCCTGTAAAAAAAAAAGAAATATTTGGCTTAAGCGGTACGAATAAATTTTCATTAAAAAATAATTTCTTGAGCACTTTGATTAGTTAGAAACAATATCGGATAAAGTATGGCAAAATTCATAATCTTCTTATGCCATCACGTATATCATGGTTAGTAAAATAGATACATTATAAGAGAAGAGGATCTTCAAAATCTTTGGCAATGATTTAAAGCCAAAAATAAAAGGTTGATTCTCTAAGATAAAAAAATTCACCAAGCATTTGGAGTTGTTGAAAATCCTCTGTGTAGTTAAAGAAAATCATAATCATATGATAATAAACCATCAAACTCATTAGATCAGCTCCGTTGGTAAAAGTGAATATTGAGACATCCATTTAAAGTGAATGAGATGGATGAGTTCATATTATAAAAAATAAAAATAAAAAAATGAAAACGATGTTGGTAGGGTTACAAAAAAAAACATATATAAAAGGTTTTAGAAAAATCGTATGAATAAATGTGCCCATAAAACATATATGGAAAATTCTAAAAGAACTGTATAATAATGTTCATCTAGAAGATGAGTTTCATTTGTTTTATAGTTTAGTATTTAAATTACCATTTTTTATTATCGTAAATTATATGAAAGGTTATGCCTGCTGAAATGGTTTTCTAAACTAATTTTTTTAAATTACTTAATTCATTTGGTAAATATGTGAGTTTTATAAGAACTACATAAAAATAATTGGAAGGTTTAGATAAGTAAAAAAAATCTTCCAAAAAAGCGAAATTTCCCAAAAAAGTAAAATGGTCCAGCAAAACAAAATCTTTAAAGAGCCTATGATGGAAACATGTATAAAGATGGTCAAAAATGTATATGATAGTAAACTTGAAGTTTACTAATATATATAATAACCGATTAAAGCTATCACAGTCCATTAAAAATGTATGTGGAAAAATTAGAAGTTTTTCACAGAACATGTCTTGTAAAACAAAAATGAGACTATTATGAGAGATGAATCAGCATCTTTTTATATCTCATTGGATATAGCAGTTGAATTTTTCAAGCAGACCCCCAATCATACTCTGAATATAACTGATTTAAAGGCAAAACTCAAATTCAAGATAGATGGACAGAATATCCATTATCTTAAAAAGGGTATTAAGAGTTTCACATCAAAAGGATTTGATACATAGTACATGACCTAAAATGGGAAACTGGAAATGGTATTGATCCTGGATTTGATACATAGTACATGATCTAAA